CATTTAAACTTTTTTAATGTATACATTAACTTATTCTTTGTACTGAAAGCTAACATAACATGGCCCAAAGTAATCCAGTTCAGATAGAAACTAGAACAACTGTTCATATGTGGTAGGACCCTGTGTATCACCACAGCCACATTCTTACCTGCCTTAGATCATCGCTATCCCTTGGTGCCCAAATCAAAGAATACCCCAAGGGAAGTGCTTAGTAAAAGGTTGTGCCATTACAAGCTTTCCAAAAATGGCACTGAATATTCTACTGCAGGTAAAAAAAAAGCCATTCAAACCATCAGCAATGAGAAGTTCTGCCCAAACTGGTTGCTGTGCTGTTTGTGGAGTTTAATGTCTATTTTTGGAAGTTGCCCATCAAAGTCAATGTTAAAGGCAAGGAGATCTCAGAGGCTCTTAGCATCAGGGCTGGGCAGGCTCTGAGGGATTCTCTGGTCCAGAGATTCTCAATCCACAGCTTTGGGGCTGCTTTCATAAAATAGGAACTGGGAATTTGTAAGGACAATAAACAGTAGACATCTTATACTTTTCCCTATTGACTCTTCTTCCAGGAGAGGAAGACTGAGACTTGGCAAGACTGGAAGAAAGCGATCAGACCCTGAAAAATTTTCCCAGAAGCACAGCCCTGTCCTCCCTCCCTTCCTCACCAAATCCTTTTGGCCCTCTGGTCTCTGCTGTGCCCTGTCTGAGTCTCTTGCCTCACTCCCTTTCTTTAGAAATGTTTAAAATGCTTTGCATTTATACTTATTAAACTTTATTTTTTACTGCTCTCAACTTTTAAATTAGAAGTATTTTTAATCATAGTTCTGTCCTTCTCTGCAAACACATCCATGCATACCTGAATCTAAGTTGCTTTCTCTTTCTCTGTAACTGACTCTTTGTTAAGTTCTTGAGGAAAAGATTCATCCCTCCTCTGTAAGGGTAGAGAGGTAGAAATCCACTCATTCTAAATATTCCTAGAGGCAAGTGTGGTGGTCTAAGTAGCTGTGCATCAGAAATGCATACAAACCACAGACACAAGAAATGAAAATCCCTGGGTTCCCAGCCCTGGCCTTTTCTCTGGTGCTGGGCATTGAACTGAAGGCCTCCCATGTACTAAGCACATGCTCTACCACTTGGCTACATTCCTGGGCCTGGACTTTCGATTCAATATTTTTACGGTGAACCCATCACTTGCCAGGTGATTCTGATGCAGAAAGGGAAGCACACAGGCCTGAATGAATTTATAAATCTGTTTCAGCTATGACTACAGATCATTATTATGAATGATAGAGCTCTGCTTGTAGCAAATGCTTCCTTTAATTGACTATTTGACTTCTACTCCTTTTTCTCTCTGTGTCCTGTCATTTTTCCCTCTACTGAGCAAAGAGTCCTGACCAACTGTACTAGACAGAAGGCTCAGAAGTAGAGCAAAAGGAGACCCTCATACCCTGCGGTAGAAAATTTACTGACCCATGAAACCCATCATAAGTTAGTAAAACATGGTGACTTTCTCTCTTCTCTGAGATTATAATGTGTTAACTGAAGACACTGCAATATCTTTTGTGGAATGTATCCAGCAAATATTTATTTATTTATGTACTCCCCACTAGGTATTGGACATTCAAAGTGGTGTTAATCTTTTTCTCTTCTTTCAGGGAGATCACAGTTCCGAAGTGAAGGGAAAAATCATGCCCTGCCTATTTACATTTCTGTTTCTGGTTTTTCCCCCTCAGTGGTGCTATCAGCTGGGATTCTTTGAAATTCATATTAAAATGATGGAGTTGGGAGAACATAAAAGAACTGGGGCCATGATTACTCTTCTCTATGCTATTCTGGGAGACTTGAAGAAACGAAAGTAAAGAACTAGCAGCACTTCAACCAAAATTACCTCAGTCTCTAATGGCCAGCCCTGCTCTTGTATTAGGGTTAATTTAGTCTAGGAGATGTTAACCATGCAGCGAACTATTCTGTTTCCTCTGAAGGCTGCTGAATGATCCAGTATACTTGAACAATGAGGCACCTGTCGGTTGTTCTTTTTAATTAAAAACTCCTTTAATGGGATGGACTTTCAGTCACTTATTTGTTGAAAATGCTAGAATTTGGTCTACCTCATTTTCCAGAGTCCAATTTGAAAATTATGTTTAAAAATAGCTTCCCGGTTTGAGAACACAATAAAAAATTCACAGCAGTCTCTGAAAGATGGATTTATAGGTTGTTCATGTTAGAGGATAAGCAAGACTACAATATATCTATTCTATGGGTGATGTTTGTAAGTACCTGGAAATTGGCAGAGGACCCTGGGAAGAGAGAGGAAGGTCAAACAGGGTCTGTCACACTGGGAGACTGAGCCATCAGAGCTCAGAGCAAGAACAGGAAGTCTTTTGAGGGGATGGATTCTGAGGGGATGGAAGGAGGTAGTCAGAGACAGGAAGGATAAGAGCACCCAGGGAGAGCAGCAGTGAGTAGTTAGGGAGGTGTGAAGCTTTCGAGAATGCTGCCTAGATGTGAAGCTGTAGAATATTTTTCAGAAGAGGGGGGTGGAGGAACATTCTGTTAAACAAGGGCTACTCCAGGAGGATGCAGAGAAATTACCTCACTTCTCTCTCTTTCTACACAGGTCCAGGGGCCCTGCCCCAAGGAGAGTGTGACCAGGGAGCAAGCACAAGCTGCCACTGAAGCTCCCTGACGTCAGAATTTGGATGGATAGTTATGGTGTGTAAGCTAGGGCCACTTCATAGAACATATAATCCCTAGTTCTAGATTGAAGATGTTTATTTTAGGCTCACATCCCTAAGTGGTTATAAATTTTAGCACAAATCAACTTATTAATTTGCCTTACCGATATTTATGAAGGGCTGTATCAACATAATATTAAGTTCTGGGTTTTCTTATCTTATTTATTCTTTCATTTATCAAACATATAATTTATAAGTACTTCTCATGTGCTAGGAATATGCCAATTTCTGGGGATGTAAAACCTAGACACAATTTCTGTACCACTAAATTTAACAATTTAGTGATGGACAAAGATAATAACTAAAAGGAATGTGTAGTTATAACCTGTGATATATATTGTATTATTCAGGATGAGCTAAGTTATTCTGTTCACAACTCATCTAAATATCTTTGTATACAAAAATAAAGGTATATTTCTTGTTTAAAAAAATACACCATGGATCCTGGGGACAACCTGCTCAGGCCCCCCTCCCCCAGGACAGAAGCTTTCTTTCCCGCAATAAATATTTTGCTCGTAAAAATAATACATCATGGCACCATGTGACTCTCCAGTGTTGACAGTAATTGTCTTCCAAGTGCATATGTGTATATCCTTACGGATGAGCGTTGATTTATTGAACAGGATGGATGATGGTGTTATTCACTAAAATATGAAATGCTATGGTTTAGGACAGATTGTGTGTGTGTGTGTGTGTGTGTGTGTGTGTGTGTGTATGTGTGTTCTGTGTGTGTTGCAGGAGTTTCTTCAGTTTTACATATACTGGTTTCGAGGTTCCCTTAGGACATTCAGATGGAGACGATGGATGAACACTAAAGGTTCTGTAATGACATCTGGCTGGAGACATAGATTTAGAAGTTATGTGAAAATGGGCGAAAACAGAAGGCAGAGGCATGGTTAAGACTTCCTAACGTGATGGCACAGAGTAAGAAGTATGAAGAGACATGAGCTTTGACAGACCTGAAGCTTATTTTTTTTTCTTTTCAAAGTTTTATTGATAAACATATAGCAATGAGACAGTTTCAAATCAAATCGAAAGTACAGTTTCAACAAATAATACACTGCATATATTCTTCTTAGTGGTTAATTGCTGTACAAGATGCAGACTTGTGATCCTATTTACAAACACCATTAGAAAAAATCATTCTATTCATTAAGAGAATGCAGCTATATATCTATCCCAACCACTTTGAATACACAGATACAAAATGGACATTCATAGTTATACCCCAATTTTTTTAAGTTCCGTTGTTGAATATTATAGGTGTGTAAACTCAGCAAAATATTCTAAAAGAGTCCAAAAATATGGAACGCTTCACGAATTTGCGTGTCATCCTTGCGCAGGGGCCATGCTAATCTTCTCTGTATCGTTCCAATTTTAGTATATGTGCTGCCGAAGCGAGCACGACCTGAAGCTTATTAGTATTGCTTGTACAGCATATTGAGAAGGAAAAGACAAAAGAAAAATCCAGGAGAAGGTGAGGTCTCGAAATCCACAAAGTAGACTTTCTACAGCAAGTGATCAACATCATAACAATGCTGAAGTATCAAGTAAAATGAACATGAGACCTGTACTTTAGACATAACACCATGGGCCACTAATGACTGATGAGGATGAACTGTATTTGGCTCACTGGAGACAGAAGCTGTCTGGAATAGAAATAAGGGAAGAAGAGATCACTACTTTAAGACAGTAGACTACAAACAGACTTGTATTCCATTCTTTCCCAAACCTCCACTAAAACAAAAATGAAAAAGAAACTGATATCATAAATTCACGAAGAAAAAGGAAAAGAAGATAACAACTATTGATAATTTTAGAAAGTCGGATCCTAAACTGAATGAAAAGCAAATTAGCAAGAGCTATACATCAGAACCCTCCAGACTTCTAAGAACTTGTGATGCTGGGTTCTTTTGAAAATGAAGATGAAGGGGAGTGCAAGGTCTTGAAATCCATAAAGGAAAACTTATGAGTCCTCATGACTTATGAGGACTGATTGAAATTACTTTAAAAGCACTGAAATTTCCATACAGACCCTTTGTTTTTTTGTAGCTACCTAGCTGCACCTCCTATAAGCCAGCACAAGTGGGAAGCTCATTCTTTGCAGAGGACAAAACAGCCGATCTCTAGTTCAGTAGATCCCAGGCACAACTGAAGATACATGGCATGATAAATAAGGATAAGTGAATAGGAATTTATTTATGGACTGTTGAAACCTTCGGCTCTCTTTCTTGATGCATATTATAGCCAGGTTCCCCACGCACACCATTAGCAGAGAAAGCAGGAATGCAGTCTCCCACTACCACAAATTGTGCAGTTGAGTTTCCCACCTTTGGGGACACCTCAGGGGTCAGCACATTCAGAGTGCAATGCATAAGCCTCTCCCTGGGAAAACGTTTGTGGTCACGGTATTTCCCTTGCCAGGTATGTATTATTATAGCCATATTTATTGGGGGTAGGAAGAGATTGGTTAAGTCTTTGGGAAATTGGACAAGCCCAAGAGAAAAAAAGCCAAAGAAAATGATGACAGCTCTTCCCAAGGAAACAAGTCAAACATTATCACCTTATACTGAAGAATACCTTGAACAGTAATCTGGCGATACTTTCTTCCTTCCCTCCAATCCCTCGCCGGATATCTCTACTGATCAAACTCAATTAGAAGATGAAAGGAAAGGAACTTACTTAATGGATCAACCCTCTGGGGGTAAAGAGCACACTGGAGAAGGATAACATGGATCTAGTGGGGCCAATGAAGGACATCCTCCCCAAAGGACATGCAAACGAGAGCCAATTAGATGTGGGCTTCTAGATTTGGCAGAAACACTTGAAACAGAGTCAGACAAAAAGGCAGGGTAAGAATGTAGATTGGTTTCTAAATTGTCTGTTGGGATTGTTTAAGATGAAAAGAATCTATTACGTGTCTGGAATTTAGGAAAAAGCTTAATAAAAACCTTTCTGATTTGTAGAATTTACTTTTGGGGTAGAGAGTTTTGAATTGTTCATTGAAATTACTTAACTTACCACCACTTTGTTTAAACAAGGTTCATGTATTTTAATAAAAAATAAAGTATCTTCATGCTCACAGGAATCTACAATGTATGATGAAAGATTTATATAGTAAGAAAGACAGAAATCAAAATTACTCAAATCTCAAACTATGTCTCTTTGATAAGTAAGCTGAAGACATTTGCACTGATAATATTTAACGTGTTATTTTATTTCTGAGCTAACCCAAAGTGGTCTCAAAAAGTTACCTTTGCACTATCAATGCACCTTAACTTTTGTCTACTGCCTTTTGATTTTAGAGAAGCACTTATTTATTTATTTATTGGCAGAACTGGGGATTGAACTCAGGCCCTTGCATTTGCCAGGGAAGTGCTTATTCCACTGAGCCATCTCCCCAGCCCCTAGAGAAGCACTTTTAAAAAGTTAATATATTCTCTTGGCTCTTAAATGTTTCTTGTATGTTTTCTAATGCTTACCCTATAATTCATTTCATATACATGTTGAAACTTAAGAATAATGACAAGAGGCTTATGCTTGCCTGGAATAGGTCTGAAGATTCTATTTGCTGTAACTTCTAAGAGTCCATTTTGGAAATTCTTTTGGTTGAATCTGTTTAAGTTTTGTTTTTTTTTTTGCAGAACAGGGATTGAACTCAGACTCTTGTGCTTGCCAAGGAAGTGCTTATTCTACCGAGCCATCTCCCCCACCCTGTTTAAGTATTTTTGAACCTGTAATTTTTGTATCTTATGTCATCACTTTAAGATCTTCCTATTTCTTTCAGTTACCATGTAATTAAAGGTTTGCTGCATAGTGTGGTACTTAAGAACAGACTTTGTTTAAATCTCAGCTCTATTTACTCATGAGATGACTGATATTTCTTAGCCTCTTAAGTTTGTGAGGAGAATATAGTCCAAAAATATATTTTGTGTAACAGAACAATTATTTTCCCTACCTTCTGCCCTCTTGCGATCGCCACCATCTCTTTTATGACTGACCTTTCACTGAATCATCCTTAAACTGTGACTGGTCCAAGGTCAAGCACCTGACCTGGGCACAGTCAGTTTTGGAAATGTGATGAGATGTGCCTTTAAAAGCAGAAGCCATTTTTTTCCAACCTGTACACTGGAAATCAAAAACTAGTATATAGAGCAAGGGAATAAAACTGATATACATGAGGGTACCAGATTACTGCTGTATTGTACTCTATGAGGAACTCTAATATTCAAATTATAAGTTACTTGTCAAATTTCAATTAGCTCAATTGAATTGGCTTTCTGTTTCTTACAACTACAATCACCATAATTTTAGCTGTAAGGCTGTAGAACTTATTCATTTTGAGGAAATAAATACACAGACAAGTTGAATAAAATTGCCTTCAGATCTGTAGTAACTGATGTAGCTGAAGTTTTAGGTACAAGTACTCTAGCTCCAGAGTTTATGGCCTTGCTACTAACCTACGGTTCTTAAAATGGCATATGCAACTACCAGCAGAGTGTCATCAGTTCAGTCAAACTCTTCCCATCTCAGAAACTCAAATATTTTGTGTCCTAATGATTGACTGAGATTGATATAATAGATTTTTCTTTTTCTTTGTATGTTGAAGATGATCTGAAAATACCAGTAACTATGAATAATGTGTTACTTATGTTGAATGCACTTTCCCAAACTAAAAACATCTAAAATGTATTAAGTCGGTAAAAAACTTTAATTGATACAATTCCATGTTATGTTTTTTAACATGATTAATTGGAAGATAATACAGAAGTTTCATGAATTCAATCTGTTTCTTTCCCTCCATTATACCTATTCCTTTAAAAACATTTTATAGCATCTAAGAAAAATGTACGCTCCCCTACTGAGCTGAAGTGTAGCTAGTGTATGTCACAACCACCCTTTTCTATCCTGTCCCTGAAGTATTTACAGGAACACTAGAATAGAGGCACAATTTGAAGAGCACCAGAAATGTGAACACTGGTCATGTTGTAGCCAGTTATACTAATTACTGTGTTTTAGATCCAAATGTCCCCTCAAAGGCTCAAGTGTTCAGAGGTGAAGCTTATAAAAGGCCATTGGACTGGGGGCGGGCAGGATTATTTGTCAGTGGAGTCATCCTCTGATGAGTTCATAGCTGAATGTCCTTTTAGAAAGTGGGGCTGATTGGAAGAAGCAGGTCACTGGGGGCGTGGCTTCGCAAGCAGCCCCGCCCTGCAGGCTTGCTAGTCCTTTCCCACTGCCGGCCTAGTGCTTGCAGCAGGTTGAGCAGCTTCGCTCAGCCTTGCCGTTCTGCCCTGCTCTTTCTGCCGCAGGTCCAGTCAAATAAAACCTGAAATCTCTGAAGCTGTGAGCCAAAATAAATCTTTTATCCTTCAATTGTGTATGTCAGGTGTTTGGTCCCAGGGATGGAAGAGGTAATACACTAACCAAGCGTGGACAGAGCCCAAGGAGAGGCCACTAGGGGGTCCCACCACTGGCTTGCAGGCACGCCTGCATCTGGCTTGGGGTTGGCCCAGATCAAAATGAGAGAATCCATCAGGCACAGACACTTAACTTCTGGAAGACAGGGGATCCTTTTCCAGCCATTGTTATCAATTGAAAGTGTACCTTTCTTTTCTATATCTGTTTGTTTGATTTTTGGTACCAGGAATCAAACTCAGGACCTTGCACTTGCCAGGCAGGTGCTTGTGCCACTGAGAATTATCCCCAGCCCTCTATGTGTTTGGATATGTAACTTTTTAAGAAAATTGGACCAGGAAAAGATAGATTTATGACATCAATCTTGGAACACAAACTCGATTGTTAAAATGAGAAGAAAGAGCTGTCGGAACATCTAAGCTAGGGAGGTGACAGTTTTTCTTGTACTATTTCCAAAAAGGGATGATCTATAAGATGCTTTCGAGAATTGGAGAATAAGTTCTTCCTTGGCCTGAGAAGTGGTGGGAAAGCAGAAAGGCCTTTGTCAGTGCAGCACAGCCATGACAGCTAAGTGGCCACTGGACTCGGGAAGTAGACAGGGCATGCTATAAAGTAGCCTAGGCTCCCGTGTAAGATAGATTCTAACAGCAAACAGGCAGGCAGCAAGGACATCAAAGAGAACATACCCATCCTGGACATGAGCAAAAACAGCCACGAAGAGAAAATACCTCATTCAAGATGATCAAACAGGACAAAAGAAAACCAACGGTAAAAGTTCTATGCCCCAAAGTGGAGTAATGCCATGTTCAAGATGAAGAAGAACCATATACTCCAACAACATTCTATTACAAAATTTATAGGAACATAGTCAATAATACAAATTGCTAAAAGTGAAGTGCTCTATAAAAAAATACAAGAACAAAAATATAGAGAAGGAAGGAGACAAGAAATTAACAGAAAGGCATCTGAGACACAGGAAGAGAAGAAGGAAATTAGATAAAATATTGGAAGAAACTATAAATTTATTGTCAGATTAAAAACCTGTAATACAATTAACTTGAAAGTTGAAAATATTGGAAAATTAATATAAAGTAAAAAATTGAGATGGCTTTTTAGAATCTGAAGGTAAAGTATATAGATGAATATGACATTAAAGACCACATATATGAAAGGGAAAAATAGGGAATATATATATGACATATCATCAAAATAGAAACATAATTCATAATAAAATATTTATGTGTTTAAAAATGTCCTAAATCAACAATAATGGAATAGAACATTTATGAGTTTTAAATTTCTGAGTCAATATATATCAAATAATTATTTAATGAGAAAAAAGACATCCTACAAAAATCAATGAACAAGTTATAAAAAAATATGACCCATCTCCCTATTCATGAAGAGAATCTGGAAATATATTATTTTCTATTTGTTAAATTTACTAGAAATGTTAAACCCATTTTTCTCCATCTTGGGAAATGTGTAATGAGATGCATATTTTAATATATCATTGATGGAAACTCATTAAAAAATTAATGAAAGGCAACTTGATTCTGTATTTCCAATGTGATAAACCTTTTGATTTTAAAACTACATATTTAGGAATTTAGCTTAAGTAATCAGAGAAAAACACAAAGATACTAGGTCAATGATATTATTTAATAGTAAAGTGGGAAGCAAGTTCCATGTGCCCAGTAAGTGAACAAATGTTACATTTAATGTGTCCCAGCTGGAGACATTAAGAAGGTATTTGGATTCCTAGAAGTTTGGGTTTCACCAAACAGGTGCAAGACAATAGAATAAAACAGCAAGGCATGTGCTTGAAAGAATGGGTCAAGGAGAGGTGGAAGTTGTCAAGAGTTAAAATAAACAGGGAGGAAAATTTAGAAAAGCTAGTATGTTAGAAATAATTATGTGAGACTGCTAGAAATGTGGAGGTATCACTTCAAATTTGGGATGAAACCAGGGTGGCTTGAGGAACACACAGCTTGAGTTGAGTGGAAGAAGACCT